AATAGGCTATCCACTTCAGAGGAATTAGTCACCTAAAACCCTATGGTTAGCATCAAAACTTTATGTTACTGAAAGCCCCGTACTGAAAGTTATGGATTACAACTCAATGAATGGAAGCAGAATATTGCCAGAAATTGTGCCCTTCATGAAAGGAAGAAGAAAATACCAGAAGATGAGCCCCTCAGGTCAGAATGTACTCAAAATATGGCTGAGATCTTAAAATCTATACCTATATACTCGTGTGTAAGCCGAGTTTTTCAGCACACTTTTAATGTGGCTTTTGTGGTAAAATTGGGTTCCTCGGCTGATATTCGGGTCAGCTTATACTCGAGTATATGCGGCATATGGGCTGAGGGGGAGCTGCCTTCTCAAAGTAGAGTTGGCCATAATGATGTAGATGAAGTAAAGCCTATGAGAGTAAAGTATGTGGGAACTTCATCTGCTATTGGAGCATGATTTAAAATGAGAAGAATGGGAATCCCAGAACACTTTATTGTGCTCATGTGGAACCTGTACATAGAGCAAGTGGCAGTTGTACAAACAGAACAATGGAATGCTGTATTGTTTAAAACAGAAAAGGCATGTGTCAGGATTGTATCCTTTCACCAGTTTATTCAATCTGTATGCTGAACAAATATTCAGAGAAGCTGGATTATATGAAGAAGGTAGCAGCACCAAGATGGGAGAAAGGATTCTTAACCTATGATACCTTGCTGTAAATCAGAAGGACTTGAAGCACTTGCTGATGAAGATCAAGGATTTCAGCTTTCGGTATGGATTACAACTCAATGTAAACAAAAATCCTCACAATAAGTAACATCATTCCAAATGGAGAAAAGATTGAAGTTGTCAAGGATATCTTAACTTGGATCCACAGTCAATGCTCATGGAAACAGCATTCAAGATATCAAAAGACACATTGCCTTGGGTAAATTGGCTGCACGAGACCTTTTTAAAGTGTTAAAAAGCAAGAATGTTACTTTGAGGACTAAGGTAGGCCTGACTCAAAACCAAACTCACTGTTATCAAATTAATGCCAACTCATAGTAACCCCACAGGATAAGAATTGCCCCTGTGAGTTTCCAAGATTGAGAGAGCAGAAAGCCCTTTTGCCCAAGGAGCAGCTGATGATTTTGAACTGCTTACCTTGCGGTTAGCAGCCCAATGTGTAACTAGGACGCCATCAGGGCTTTTTCAGGACTGACTCAAGCCATGGTATTTTCAATCACTTCCTATGCATATGAAAGTAGACACTGAATATGGAAGACCATAGAAAAATCAATGCATCTGAACTATAGTGCTGGTGAAGAATACTGAACATACCATGGACTGCCAAAAGAAGAAACAGATCTGTCTTAGAATAAGTACAGTAAGAATGCTCCTAACAGGCGTGGATGACGAGACTTTCATCTCATGTACTTTAGACATGTCATCAGGAGAGACTAGTCCCTGGAGAAGGGCATCGTGCTTGGTAAAGCGGAGGGGCAGTGAAACAGAGGAAGGCCTTAGAGGAGATGGGGTGACACAGGGGCTGCAACAATGGGATCAGCTCAAACAAGAATAATTGTGAGGAGGGCACAGGGTCAGGCAGTGTTTCCTTCTGTTGTGCATAGGGTTGTTATGAGTTGGAACTGACTCCACAGCACTTAACATTAGCAATTTGTAAAACAGAAAATATAAACAGAATTTTGAAATTAACTTTATTTCACATTTTTATCTTACGAAAGAAAATTCATTGAACAGTATGCAGCATAGAAAATTCTACTAGGTATACAATTAAAATCCTTACTAAGACTCTGGTTCCAATGTACAAATGTGTTTGACACAATGGATGGATGGATGGATTGTGATAAGAGTTGTACGACCCCCAATAAAATGATTTAAAAAAAAAAACAGACTCTGGTTCTTTTAATTCTGCAATCTATAATACTTTAAAATTTCTGCAATCTATAATACTTTAAAATTGATAGTGATTACTTATTTTTTAGTAGTAAACTGTACAAATAATTAATGCTCTTTCAAGCTCTTTTAAAACTCAACCAGAATTAATAAAATACATTTTCTACTTTCAAAATAACTCTTATTTTCCAGGACTTATGGGACTACATCAGAGCTCTGATTCACAAATTATATCATAATTCTGTAAAGCATTAGCAGTCTCGTTTCATAGAAAAGTAAATTGAGACATAAAGGGGGTAAGAAAGTTGCCCAAAGTCATATAAGTTATGACTAGAGTCCATCTATAATAGGTTATAAAATTCAGATCTAAACTACAGTAGTTTTCAAGGAAAAGCTATGTTTTGAAGGTTTTACAGCTGCTCAATTATGTAAATATAATTAGTTGATATAATTTTTTAGAAACTAAAGCTATAAATTAGTTGTATTCACTATCTGTCACAATATTTCTTTCAATAAGAATACTCTTCTAGATAATGCAAGTCAGGTACAGATAAATAAAATCAAAGATCAGTGTAAAACTGTGAAAATGAGTAATTTGTGATAAGTATGTCCAGCATCAGAAACTATAGAGTTGCTCTCCACTGTTCCACAGGCTCACCATGAGTTGGAATCAACTCAGTGGCAGTAGGTTTGGTTTGAGTTGTACATAGGGAATAGCTAAATTACTAGTTAAAAATGAAATGGAAATGATATGTAATAAATTAGTATAAAATGTTTTCTATTAAAAATTTCAATAAGTTCTAAAGTAGATACCTCTAAAAACATTAAAACTACCAGGTGTTAAGCCTTTTATGATTCAATTATTTTCCACTCTGAATTTTGTTTTCATTAATGGAAGGGATGCTAAATCAAGGAGGATTTTTGAACTTTTATTATGAAATACAGATTTTTATACATTTTATATAGGTCACAAAAGTCCCCCCCAACTCTCAGGTAGAATTATACAGGGCCCGCTTGTTACTCTGGACTCCGTGGGCAAAATTCCATGGGACACATATGTCGCTGTGGACTCTTTTTCAAGATCCTTTCACAGGACTCATCCCATGTCCCACAACTTCTCATAACATAGGAACCAGGAAATACATTTACAAGTATATATCTCCTGGTAAAAAAAGCCAAAAAAGACAAAAGTTTTGCAAGTAATACCTCCAGAGTACATCACTTCATATAATACCATGAAATATATATATATAAATATATATATATAAATATATATATATATATATATATATTTGTGGCACAAGCTCATTCTTCCAATGCAAAGTAATATAGGTCCCTGCCAGATGTCTGCATGCATTGTCAGTGGGAAAGCAACTGCTCAATAAACCCCAGAAGAAGAAAATGTGAGTGCTGTATCACCTGAGGGTCATGAAAGGATTAAATCACAAGAAATTTCAATGCCTGATTTTTGGTTTTCCCTAAGAGCACCATCTATGCAACAGACAGGAGACCTGATGGCCTAGGGGTTATGCTTGGCTGAACTCCTGTCCAGAGTTACAGTCTCAGAAGCCCACAAGAATAGCTCTACCCTGTCGTATAGGCTCACTAGGAGTCAGAATCAACTTGATGGCAATAAGTCTACTTTTCTGGTTTTATGCAACAGATAATGATTGAATTGTTTTTTAAATAATAGTTCTAATGACATCTTACAAAATCCAATATAACCATTCACGTACATTGCTGTTGTTCAGTCCCATCAAGCGGAGTTATACACTCAGCTTTCCATTATTTTTATCTCATTAAGTCTGTTCTACACAATTGCCCATGAAGGGGACTACTGCTCCATTCGTACACAAAAATAAACTCGGAATCTAAGTATCACATTATTCTAAGAAGTGTAGTAAGGAGTCCTGCCCATATCTGACTCTATATTCTATACTCCAGCACATTGTGCAATTGACAACCATAAAACACACACACACACACACACACACACCCTTTAGGTACATAAGAATTTAAATTCAAATCTAAGGAATTATCTTTTCAATAAGCCTAGTCTGTGGCCAGTACAGGTACCAAATAAAAGTTTACTGAATAGAATAAACAGTGATTGATTGTCTAGCAACAGAGCATGAAATAGGATCATCTCCATGCATTCTGCCTTTCTAAAAAGGGACTCTGGTGGGGTAGTGGGTTAGGAATTTTCAAAACCACCTACTCCTTGGGAAAAAGGTAAGGCTTTCTACTCCAGTAAAGAGTTACAGTCTCGAAAACCCACAG